ACCACTATGCTCTTAAATAGTTACAGACAGCTGAACCCAAAGGAAGACTAGGACGATGGATACTCAAGCTACAACCATACGACTTCCAAGTTGTTCATAAACCAGGACGAATTCATTCCAATGTTGATGCACTTTCACGATTACAGACACAGACCCAACCAACATCATCAACATGAATTTAGACCGATATTATACAATATATAAGTTCTTAGACACAGACGAAATACCAGAAGATTATACAAACAAACAAAAAGAACAGTTGATTAATCAAGCAAGATATTTTGAGATTAGACATAATTTATTATATAAGAAAAACAGAAAAGACCCCGATAGACCCTTACGAGTAATTAAATGGACTGAAGTAGAACCTGTACTCTACATGATGCACAAACACCCAACTGCTGGACATTTGGGAACTGATGCTATGTACTATAAAATATCTGAACGATATTATTGGGATCAAATGTACAGAGATGTAAAAGAATATGTACAGTCATGTGAAGAATGCCAGAAAAGACAGAAAGGACGAAGAAAGGAACCTCTCCACCCGATTCAAGTTGGACAAGCCTTTGAACGTATAGGAATTGACCTTGTTGGACCTCTGCCTATAACTCAATAGAATAACCGTTATATTATTGTTGCCACAGACTACTTAACCCGATGGCCAGAAGCCCGAGCTGTACCTGATGCCAGAGCTGAAACATTAGCCAAGTTTATATTTGAAGAAATTATCTGTAGACATGGAACACCAAAGATAATCTTATCAGACCAAGGCCGAAACTTTATTAGTGAAACTATTCGGATCCTCTGTGAAAAGTTTCTAATTAAACATAAGTTCTCATCACCATACCACCTACAGACGAATGGAATGGTTAAAAGACTCAATAGAACCTTATGTGAATCGCTCGCCAAAGTTAAAGAAACAGACGATTGGGACCTACATATACCTGCTGTTCTATTAGCATATCGAACCAAAAGACATGCTACTACAGGATACACTCCCTTTCACTTAGTCTATAGAAGACAAGCAACTCTACCAATAAAAGCTCTTATTCCTACTGAACCTAGCCCAGACATGAATGAAGAAATAGACCTACAAGACAGTATATTACAACAAGCCTATGAGCTAATGGACAAGATGCCATACTCACAAGATAATGCTCGATTGAATACAGAAAAATCACAAAAGAAACAGAAAGACTATTTCAATAATAGAATAAGACCAGAAGAATTTGAAATTGGTGATAAAGTTTGGATACAGAGAAAAGAAATAGAAAAATCCAGATCAGCAAAATTCGAAGACAAAAGATTTGGACCCTTCATAATACAAGAAAAATTGAACAACGGTGCCTACAAACTTAGAAATAATGAAGGACAAGTGCTACAAAAATATTATAATAGTGATAGACTTGCAAAATATTATGAAAAACAGACATGGGAACCAATTGTTGTGATTGAAAATCCTTAATTTCTGGAAGAAATTTAACTGAACGGGGAGAAACAACACAGAATTTTGTGAAACAGACAATCATACACCCTAAAAGACATATATAGACTCAAAGAACAGACATTTTTCACTAAAAATGGAACTACCTACCCCACAACTAGAAACTCTTATCGCCTTAAATAACTTTCTCCAAAAATGGAAACAAGATCCTGCCTCCCAATACAACTTAAATATCGCATCACAGAATGTATTATTATGGGACCCTCTGGACACAGAAAGAAACCTTGACTTAATGCTACTTCTCGACCAACCAATAGAAATCGACTTCGATGATTTTCTGCTACCAGAAGAAATAGAAGACTCTATTGAACCTGTTTCAACCTTAAGACTAGACGTTGAAACTTCAAAGGATTCTGCAATTTCTTTCATGACCGACCTGTCTCAAGTTATACGACCAACAACAAGAAGTATGACCAATCCATTTATTGGCAGAACTTGGAAGACCCAAGTAAACCAAATGTTAGCTCAACTTGCTACCAAAGGACGAACTCAGAAAGACATAAACCAGAAGATACAGACTTACTACTATTTAGGGAAACTTTGGAATAACCATGAAGACCCAGCTGCGATAAAAGACTTTATCGAAAAGAAGCAATGCAAAAGAAAAGCCAAAGACATATGGCTTGGAGCCTACTGGACCTATGAACTTTTTGGAATCTGTCCAAAAGAAGTCATATCCTAGTTACAGAGAATTTCAGCAACACAACTCATCAAGTTAACTGATGCTGTCTACCACCAACTTCTCGACGATTGCAAGTTGAAATTTGTGGAACAAATTTTATAAGGGGACGGAAATGTTATAGAATGATTATTTTATTATTAGACATTATTAGTTATTATTAGTTAGCATTAGTTATTATTAGACATTATTATTCTATTATTGTATTATTTTATATAGTTATTTATAATTAGAGTATATAGGGTAATGCGCAATTACTGTGCCAAACATTTACTGTGCTAAATAATTACTTTGCTGATACACAGTTACTTTGCCACGCACAGTTACTTTGCCGAACAGTTACTGTGCCATATAGTTGCTTTGCCGCTTAGTCACTTTGCCGCTTAGTCGCTTAGTCACTTTGCCGCTTAGTCGCTTTGCTGATTAGTCGCTTAGTCGCTTTGCCACTTAACTTGAAAGATATATAAACCCAGCTAAATTCCCCAAGCGACAGAAGATTCAGACAACTTCTCCTCTACTCTTTTTACTTAGTATTCTCTTTTGTAAAGGATTCCTTAGGCACAGAAACCTAACGGATAGCCTTTTCCCTCTTATTTAAATAAAGTATATAACATTCCTTCTCTAGGGTAATTCCTACAGGCAAGGCTTGTTATCTCTGCTTAAAGTATAAACTATTATCTCTTGTTTTACCGAACTGCCTCAGAGAGAAGGGTATAGTTTCTTACAGACTAAGAAATTATACTTACCTCTTGGACACCGCTATAAACCTTAAATAGGATTCCTGTAGCCGTGTCATTGTTATAGTACTGCTGTTAAGAAGGCCACAGTACTGTAACAATACTATTACTCAAATACTGAAGAATCTTCTCTTCTGTTCCATGCACATAATTCAATAAACCCTGTTTGTGTAGCTCTTGCATCTAGAAAATTCTATTGTACATGTGATTTGTGTCTGTTTGGCTTGTTTTGTTTATGTGTTTGTGTTGACCTTGTTAATTTGTTAAAAAATTTATCCAAATTTTCCAAAATTTTTGATGATTTTCGAAATTTATCTAATTTTTTTGCAAATCATTAAAATTGACCAATCAGAATGCAAAAAAACATGTTATATCTGATTTTATATTCTGATTGGTAGTAATACTTTATGCTATGATGACCAAAATTTTTTTTTCACAAAAAAATAATTTGGTTTCTTTTTATCTTTTTACTTTTTGACGTATACTATTTTTTCATAATACATATTGTTATTATATACATAAATAAAAAACATAAACCTCCAGAATCAGATTTGATCTTTTTTTTTTATACTAAATTATATAAAAATAGAACATCACAAAGAAGTTATATCTTAATCCTTAACATGATTTGAATTTTAATGTGACAAAAAAAAAGAAATATAATCGAAATTTATCAAAATGTTTGCAGGACCCGTGGGTCGATAGCGTAGTGGTTATGCTCCTGGGTTCTAATCGCAAGGTCGCCAGTTCGAGTTATACTAGAGGATGACAGCTGTGCCAGGATCACGATTGAAAATAACCACAAACTTGCTGTAGGCATACTTTATTAAAGAAAACAAAGATACTTCTGGTGAAATTCTGGTCAAAATCAAAGAACTCCAGAAAAGGATACTTCTGGTAGAATTCTAAATGAAATTTAGAATACTACTAGTGAAATTCCAGTTGCAAACAATTAGGACTATAATAGTTAACACGAATATGTATAGTTAAATAAATAATTAACTCATGTAAATTCTTAATTGTAGGGGATTTTACAAATTTAGAAGACCCCATTAATTGAATGAGTTAATAAATAAATTGAACGCCACTGGCGTCCTGCGGCGATCATGCCAAGAAAAAAAAAAAAAAAAAAAATGTTTGCAGAAATAATTGAAATTTATTGAAATATTTATAGAAATAATCGAAATTTATCGAAATATTGGCAAAAAATAATTGAAATATCTTAAGATTTTCCAAATAATATTTGACAGTCTCTGTGTTATTGTTGTTGTTTGGTCACATGTTCTGATCTCCAAATTTTTCAGGATCAAGACCAAATCCCAGTTTTTTAAAATTTTCATCAAAATTTTTTTTTTGTATACTAAAAGTTGACTTGTCTGAACTTTTCTAAACAAGGTTGTTCTAAATAACTTTAGGTAATTTCTTTGGCTGCAACTTTTTTATTAATCATGCAAAGTAAGTTTCTTATATTAAAATTTGAGTTTTTGTAAGATTTTTGTTTTTGCCGATTTTGGTAAAAAGGATCAGTGATTAGATAATCTTATTTTATTTTTTATTTTTAACTCTTTGGCAGTCTTGTCAGTCACCTTTATTAAGATTCTTGCATACATCAATTTGTAAGAAGTTAGCTTAAATTTTGGTCCAACACCCCTCGGCTGCTTCTAAGAGTGCCCAAGGGTGGTCTGCCACACTAGCCAGACATAAAATCAATGGCCAAGGGTGATACCAAGCTTGCCAGTGAGGCTATACAACAGTCTTGAATTAAAAAGGGAACTATATATGGGACTATATTCTATTGAAAGAGCTACACTATGGCCGTGGCCAACACTCGTGGTCAGGGCTAAACCTTTAACCTCTATGCTCTTTTGAACTTGCTGTTAGGTAGACTATATACTCTATCTACTTTATTTCTATAGAATCCTCCTATTAACAACTTTTTCTTTTTCTTCTTTCAATATTTCCATCCAAATGCTTCTTTAGTTATTCCTTTTCTTTTTTCTTTTACTTTTTCTAATCTTCTTTTTCCTTCTGTTTTCTCTTGATGGTTACTTTTCCACTTATTTTTCTTTCTTCGTTTCTATTCATTTGTATTTTCTTGTAGAAATTCTGCTCTTCTTGCTTCTCTGTTTTTGGTCAGTCTTTCTTGCTCTTCTTGTTCTACTTGTACTGTTTTTCTAACATTAGACCAATGTTTTGAAACTTCTTTAACCGAGTTTTAGAGCCATTTTGCAACTTTTCTGCTAGCATCTTAAAGCTGCTTTCTCTTGCCTTTCTTTTTTCTATTTGCAATATATCTGAATATTTCATCTTTTGTATCTTCCAATCTGCATTAGCTATTTTTTTTTTTCTTCTTTTCCATGCTTCTTTGGTCACTTGATCGAGTATCTGCATCTTATTCTGCTTACTTCTATATTTAACTGAAAGTACATCAATCTTGCCTTTCACTAAACTACTAACACCTTCATCTTCAGCATTCCTCTAACTAATCCTATGTCTTGTTTCTTCTTTGAGTTCTTCTAATACTTTCTGCATTTCTAGCCTACTTTTATTAAGATCTTGCTTGGCTGGAATTTTTCTTTTGGTCGTTAGGGGCAGTACTTGTTGACTCTGAACCTTCTTTTTCTTTTTTTTGCATGCATAATCTTCTTTTGTGCTAATGCTTTTTGAAATTTTATAATAATTTCTTTTCTTGTTGTATCTACTTGCTGTTTTTGCTTTCGAGCTCGCAGTCTTTCTAGTCTATTACTCCAATCTATTATAAGTCTCTTTTTGTGTGCAACTACTGTCACACTTATTGACCCATACTGTAAACTTAATAACTCTGCAATTTTATGTGAAGCTTCTCTTTTCCCTAATTCTTCATGTATATCATGCACTTTTCTCTATTTACTTAACTGTTGTAGTGTTAATACTCTTCCAAAGTAATAGGTAAATAGTGCAAAGTTGTTTTCTGCTTGGTTGTACTCTATAGTTAAGAATTCTATTTTTCTTTTGTTTTTATCTATATGTTTAGATTCTTCCTGTTTTCTAACTTCTTCTACTTGCTTTTTTTTTTTTTTTTTGCTTCTTATTCCCTCCTTCTGTTGTTTGTTTTTGTCATTCCATTCTGCTTGTTCTAGAATCTTCTTTGTTTATCTAGATCTGGTTGGTCATTTATTTCATCACGTATACGTGTTTGTTTACTTTGTTTTGTTTTATGACTTCTGTATAACCAAACTGATCTGCAAAAACAGGGTAAACGACAATTCCTACTTTTTTTCAAAATTTTCCAAAATTTTTATTGGTTTTTTGGTTTTCTTGCTATTGCCTATCGGCAAAGCACTTTTTTCCAACTTTTCTTGACAATTAAGTGTAACTTTTTGTGCTCTTCAGCTTTTCTTAAGGCTTCAAGTTCTGTTTCCTAGTGTCAGTTGATGTATTTTTTGCTATTTGCTTCTTACGAATTTTTGGTTGAGGGATCTGCAGGGAAGAGTTGATTGGATTAGATAATCTTATTATTTAATTGTATTATATTAAAAAGATTACAATCTTGTAACAACAATATATTCTAGTCATAAGTTGCTTTGTATTTTTTCTAATAATGGATTATAAAAAATTTTTTAAATTAAGAGTGATAAGACTTTTTTCTGTTCGATTCTGTCATTAATATTGACTGTTTCAGTATGACCTTAGTAGGTAATTATTTTAGACTATCTATCTTGAAATAGGTTAAACATCAATACAATTGTTGTTTCTAGTAGTTTAATTCTTTTTATTGCCTTTTTTAACCTTTTTAATAATACTGAATTAAAAATCTTTTTTATATCTTGAAAACTAATTAGAGTTCTTTATTGTTTTTCTTTGCATCTTTTATAATTGTATTTAAAACATATATTAGTTTTTTTGTTAAGTTGATTAGCAGACTTACAAAATTAGATTTTTGAAAATATTCTTTAATAAAAAAACTTTTGTTAACTTTTTTATTAAAATTTTTATAATACATTTTTTTAAAATTTCTAAAAATACTATTAGTCTAACATTGCTTAGATCATACTGCCAATTAATGTTTTTTAGTATTAAATATATTTGTGAAATCTTTCACTTTTTTGAAACTTTTCCTATTGTAATACAAATTTCTGCAAGTAAACTGAAAACCTTCTATATATTATTATTATTATTTTTAACTCTTTGGCAGCCTTGCTAGTCACTTTTATTAAGATTCTTGCATACACTAATTTGTATGAAGTTAGCTTAACTTTTGGCCCAACACCCCTTGGCTGCTTCTAAGAGTGCCCAAAGGTGGTCTGCTGCACAGGCCTGATATAAAATCAATGGCCAGGGGTGATACTAGGCTCGTCAGGGAGGCTGTAAAACAGTCTCAAATTAAAAAAAGAACTATATATGGGACTAAGGAAACTATATATAGGACTATATTCTATTGAAAGAGCTACACTATGGCTACAGCCAACACTCGTAGTCAGGGCTAAACCTATAACATCTATGCTCTTTCTGAACTTGCTATCAGGTAGACTACATAATCTATCTACTTTATTTCTATCAAATTCTTCTATTAATA